CAATAAAAGAAAAAACACTATGCAAATGGCCTTTTCCGTAGTACAACAAAGTCATTAGATGTTTCTGTCTGTTGGCTGTTGAATTCAAAGTATCACCCAAAATTAAGCATCGCCTGTGTTTCAACCCTATATTGTGGCACGTTATCTGCATCCATAAAATGCCAAAAGCAATTAAATTTTAATGAAACCAAATAAACCTAGGTGATGGTAATCTTGTGTAAAACACAATGTATCACCATTCACCCATTTCTGCCGTTTTTGACCAGTTTTATTTGTGCATATGCCAGTTTATTTATTTGACGCTGTCCTTGCGCACTGCATACAGGTGTACAGAGACATGGAGAAATATGTTGTGTCAGTCCAAAATGCCGAGAAAACTTTGTCAATTATATGTGTCCCATTCAAAATATACACAAAACATTTCCGAAATCGTTTTACTTTCATATGTACAAACCTGTGATCGTGATGAAGATGCGAAACAGACAGAGAATCAAGTATATGATTTAACATTGGAGGAGGTTCAGTCCGTATATTTTTGGATAGAGTTAGTTGCTTTTGTGCGATTTGAAAGTGTGTTCGACCAGTTGATGTTGATCCATTTGTTTTGCCATGTTGTTGATGATGATGATGTTGCTGTTGCTGCTGAACAGTTTTATTTTTATTCAATATAGACAATGGATTTAAAGTTGTTTTAGAAAGTGTTTTAGACGACGACACTGTTGAGAAGCTATTATGTGTCACGTTTTCTATCGATAATAATGAAGCATTGCTAACAAAATATTTGTTGACTGCGGCAACAGCTTGACTTGTTGTAATTGTAGATGTTTCAACGGCATACGGAATCGTTGATTCAGCTTCTGTTACTTGATTAGAATTCTGTTGTGAACTACTCAAGTTCGATTGCACTTGATTGACAAAATACTTGTTGTTCAATTGGTTTACTGGCGGTGGGGGCCAAGGTGATGCTAACAACAATGCCTCTTTTATCGATGACATTGATTTCAGTTGATGATTTTCTGTCACTTTGACTTCCAACGCTTCTGTTGTTTTGAAAATTGCCACACTGCTATTTCCATTCTCTAAAAGTGAAGAAAAAAACGAAAAAAGTTGATCATTTTAGTGCACCAATTGTGCAACTGCAATTGTGTTAACTGCAAGCAAATTATATTTCATTCAGAAGAGCGAAGAAGAGAGTAAACGAAAGGAAATACCGCCATATTTTGAATTATATTGTGCACTTGGCGAATACAAAATATGTCCGACTGCAATGCAGCATCAGGAAATGGAATCATAAACGAAGTCGCTCGCGAAACAATAAGATTCATTAGTTGGATTGCGGAAATTGACACTATTTGAAAAGCACATGGCTAAAAAAGGCGTGTAACAAATATTATATTATTATTATTATGCTTTCTGTATAAAATGGTTCCAACAGCATTGTACTTCATTTTCGTTCCGACAACCAGTGATGGTGATGACGATGATAATATGCAAACATAAAGCTGCCTTTATATACATATTGCGATGCAATTTCTTTGACCATAACGGAATTCCACTCTTCTTATTTCTTTTATTTTCATTTCTTTAGATTTACTTAATAATAATCAACATTTCGTTTTACAACCCAATTTATTAACAATATAAACTTACTCGTTTGGATTTTAGTGTGTTTTACGCGATTTGTTTCATTATTTGATGTAAGTCCAGTGGAAATATTTGCAATTTTTTCCAAAGTGCTAGCTAAAAATGTTGTGCGCTGACTTCCTGCTTTGTTCTCATTGCTGTGATTATTATTATTCAAATTTATTAAAAATGTATTAGATGTGTCAGTGCCACTGTTGATTTTTCTATCGTTTGAATTCAGATGGGTATTTGGCGCTTGATTCCCCATCATTGGCGAACAGATACTCAAAAAATACAGTAAAGCATGAAAATTCACTTTATATCGCATTTTCATTTATTTTTTGTGTGCTTTTTCGTCGTTGTCGTCTTCTCTTCCTTTTGCCGCTGGCAAATTTTGATGATGTTTCAAGAATTAAGCTTTTGCGCTCGCCTACTGCTTACACGCACAGTAGCATTAATAACAGTGACAGCTCGTGCATGTAACACTGCTCAGTTTGAACTTTGTTGGTCTTTAATCGATTGGCAGAATGACTTGTTTGGTAAGTTTATGATACACCGAATGTGTTTTCTTGATTAGTCTCATTATCGCATTTATTTGGTTTAAACACTATATTAAATGACCCCATGTTCTTTCGCTACAGAAAAACGTACTGGACGTTGTTCATACGTAATATTTATTTTATCATAAAAATGTATATGTTGACTGTTGTTGATTAGACCGTTTTGATTTATCGCTGTATTCATCTGAAAGAGAAAATGCAAAATAAGATCAAGTTGAATTTTAATTTCAAAAGTCGAGAAGATAAAAAATTAAAAAACATCAAAAAACATTAATTCGGTTACAGAAGAAAATTAGGATAAATTCAATCTTCTCTGGAATATGTTGGACAAAAATGATTAATCATAACGATGTTGTTTTTATGCTTAAATTTTTGTTATATTCACGTCATAATCCATGCGATGCTTCCGCTCTATTCGCAAGAAACATTATTTATTCACATTCTAAACGATATACATATAGTCATCGTTTTCGACCAAAGAAATTCAATTCATTTTGGGTAGACACGGATAAAGCAAAAAAAAAAATGGAGTGGGAATGAGAGATAGAAAGAGAGACGTAGAGATAAAATTCAAAATGATTTCAGATTAGACGAAAGAAATTTACCCAGATTCAATCAACTAATCAATGTCATGTTGAATAAGATCAAGTAATTTTCTCTCATTTCTGAATTCTGACGCTATCCGCAATGAATTTGGCGCATACAACAAACAAGCAAAAGTTATTAATCATCAGTTGAAGATGAATTTTGTTTTCTTCGAAAACTTTTCTGCTCAAATTTTTTTTTGCCTTTGATAGACGATGACATACGTAATGAAGTGAACCGAAGACAGAATGTAATTATTATTATTATTATTGCATTGATGAATTTTAAGGATCGAAATAACGTATCAAAAATTGGCCCGTCTATCTGCTAGTCACTTTGCAAAAGAAAAAAATGAAGTTGCTACTTTTCTTAAACAGCAATTCTTTT